ATCTCCTCATCGACGAGATAAGGTCTATGATGAGATACTTCAGAATTATCAACGTCGATCGATTGAGGGATTTGCTTAAAATTGTTCAAATTAGCAGAGAGTGCCTTACTCTCTTTGAGAGTAACAATCATTTGGGTTTGGATAGCCGCTATTTGTTGGGTGAGTGCATCAAATTGTGAATGGTCCATGTTTAGGTACAGAAATTATAAGTGACAAGACGACCAGTCAACCACTATGAATGCACTATATTAGCAGCTAAATGACGTGCAATAGAGATATCAATGAACAATAAATGCAAGCAATGAAAAATGACTTGAACCATTTTTTTTAAAATTTTAAATTTGGAGGATTAAGCGAATCCAAATATTGCAAACTAATACTGTAGATACATGTAAAATAGCAAAGCAAGGGTTAAACACTAGTTAAAAAAACCTAATCACTTGAAATAGATTGAGGGTTTAAAAGCAAGTCTACAAATGATGAATCAAAACCTCACGTGGGGTAAGCGGGAAACCACTGGGAGTTAAGTCATTCAATGATTCTGATAAAGTGTGGTTAAGGCTAATATTGTCAAAGTAACAGCAACACAAGATTTTAATTGATGTAATTTTAAAAATGAAGTAGTAGTATAAACCAATACTAAATAAAGAACAAGGACTCCATGTTGTTTAGTTGCTTGAATTTCTTAAATGTGGACCCCAATTATGCTTGTGTGCTATCCTTCTTTGCAGATGGCTTCCACTCGAGAAGTTACTCTCTGTTGATTGTGATTTATACTGGTTATTGCTCTGGCTCTGTTGTGCATTGGAGTTATAACTGGCGGGCAAGTGGAATTGATCCCTGTTGTTGGTTGTTTATGTGTTAAATGGGATGTGATAACATGTGTTAAGTGGGCCGGTTTATTTTGATTCAAGTAATGGATTGTGTTATTTTTGAGATGTTGGAATTGGGCTAGAAGTAATTGGTTGAATGATTATGACGGGAAGTGGGCTGTTTATGGAAGGGGTAATGGGTTGAGTTAACCGGATTTTGGGAGTTATTAGGCTGCATGGGTTTGGCAGGGATAAAAGGGATATTTGTGGGTATATTTGGTGTTAGGTTGTTAGGATTGAAAATTTGTGAAACAGCACTTAACAGCAGCAAACGCCTAAAATACTAAAAATGATTTTTTTTTTTTGGCAGAAAATGATGAAAAATACTAAAACTGAATTTTTTTTCTCCGGTTGAACAGTACCTGTGAACAGTAAAACACACTCTCTCTCTCTTTTTTTTTTTTTTTTTTTTTTTTTAGGAATTGAAAATATTAAAATTGAATTTTTCGGGTGTGAATAGTACCCATGAACAGTACACGATTTTTTTTTTCACGCAAATACAGAGAACTAAAAAAAATGAAAAACGTTGCTTTTTATGCTAAATTTTTTCAATTGTGCTGTTCCAACAAATTTTGGGAAGAAAATAGAAAGAATTTTTAGATTGTATGAGAGAAAGTATTCAAGATTCGACTCTGATACCAAATTTGATGCAGCACCAATAGGAAAATTAATAAAGAAAGAGAAAATCAATGAACATGAAAAAGAAATCAGAAGAAGGGATGATAGAAGAAGAAAACAGAGGAAGAAGAAGAATGGGGAAGAGGGAAATTTCGCCACAAGCCACCAAATATCTCTATTCAATCATCAACCACTGAAATTACATCACAATTAAGTTTAAATAGTAAAGACTAAAACCCTAACTAGAATGAACTTGGGTCAATACAAGTCCAATTACATAAATAAAAATCTAAAATATAAATAAAGTCCAACTAGAAATAAAATAAATGATGTCCTCATCAGCTTCCCTGAAACTTTTAGCTTTTTTATTGCTCATAGGATATAAAAAGTTCCCGCTGAGATTTTTTTCTGATTATTCTTTCCTGTAAACTGTGTTACATGGACTCAACTATGGGTATCTGGTGTTATTATGTGTCAAATGTCTGAGTTATCAAATCTTTACATTCATGGATAGCGGACCTGCAAAGTTTTATGCTTAAAGCCTTATTTTCTCTATTACATACATTGAATGAATCTTAATGTAATAGAGCTTTAATTTATAAACTTGACTGACTTAACAATATTTGAAAGTCTTAGAATTTTGATTTAAGGAAATAACCGAATAAATTAATGGAAAACCCTAAACACATATCCCCGTTCTTTGGAAAAAGGTAAGATTGGAATAGGGAGCATCAATATATTATAAAGAGTCCATGTAATATAGCCTATCGATCACAATGTTTCTGGATGCACTGAATTGTATTTCTTATTTTCTTTGGCATATTCTTTGCACACTGCTTGAGGTGAGTCATGACTACAAAAATTTCCTGCAGTATCCTAGTTGATGGATGTGAACCATTTTCTGAGGATTTATGGACTGAGATCAAGATAAGCAATTTAGCTTTCCATGGTGTTAAACTATGTGATCGTTGTAAGGTAAAAGCTTTCCTTCTTTCACCTCACCCTGCCAAAAGCCTTTTTTGTCATTTTGTTTTCAAGCTCATGCAGCCTATAGCATGTTTGGCCCAGCTCAAGATGTATTTTTTTTTTTTCCTGGCTTATTTGGGCAGTAAGTATGCACTTCTTCCCCCAAGAAAGCTGGTAAGAAGCGCCATAAAAGTGGGGGGCTTGGGTGCCAAACATGCTCTTAATGTTTCCTCCTCTGGATGATTCTAGAATCTAGAAAGTCAGGCAATTCAGATTGGTATATACATATATTAATATGCATTCTGTCTTATGGATCTCCTTTTGGTTTTTCAATCTGAAATCCATCTGTTTTTGAATGAGCAATTTAATAGAAAGCACAGCCCGCAGGTAGCCTGCAAATTGACAAAGCATTAGATGTTCTACGTTGTTACAATTGAATAAACTGTAGTCACTGCCTGAGACGAAAATGAGAAAACTAATTTCTGACCTTGGTGTCTTTTTTTTTTTTTTTTTTTTTTTTCCCCAACTGAAATTTGAGCGATGATCCGGGAAATTTAGATCAACAGTGTCAAACTTGGTAGCTGTCTAAGAAATTTAGTGATATGTATAATTTTTTGATCTTGCTACATGTGCATCAGTGGTAACATAATGGGTTACTTAATGCCGCATAACACTTTATCATTTGTTAGTTTAAGACACTGTCAACTTTTTCAACCAATCTTTTTTCTCTACATCATATTATGTAACCCCTTATGTACAATTTTAATGTACAAGTAGCAAAATTCATAAATTTTTATCGTTTAAGACATTGTCAACTTTTTCAACCAATCTTTTTTCTTTACATCATATTATGTAACCTCTTATGTAC